ACGAATTCGCTATAAGAATACCACTACGGTACGGACCGCTTGTTTCGGAGGTAGAAGTCCATCGTACAGGTGACCCCTAATGCACGGTGTCATGCGGCCTTTGGTTTACCGTACCAGTCTTTACAATGAATGAATGGCTGGGTGGTTCAACAGAAACCTAATCCTTAACGAAGCCTGTGTATTACCTGGTTGTCCTCCACAGTATGAAGCCCTTACTGCACTAATTGAAGCACTGACATAGCGGACTTTTTGTTTCTCTGGGGCACTCGGCCGTCCTTCGTACGTTTCAAGTTTGAGGCAAATAAGGGTGGGACTATGGATATGCTCTCACTTAGAATAAAAATAAAACTCAATAAAAATATACCTGTATATTTATCTTACATAATTAACAGCTCTTTGAACTTTCGTGGAGAGACAAAAAAATCACGGTGTATTATTTTTGTATGTAAAGTACTGTATTTTTTGCTTGGCATCTAATCAAGAACTCGAGAACTACGAAGAATAACTATACTGTATTTACAAGATATGTTTTTAATGTTTAAATTTCAAGACAACGGAAGCGACAGTTCTTGATCAACGTGAGAATTAAGCCGATCAGCAACGATTTAAAATGCAGATTTTCTATGAATCAAAGGCTCAACCATTACCAACCAATTACCAGCACCATTTGATGAAGTAAGTTTTTTTTTCTAGATGAATCTCTATCGAAAATCCATATAATGCTAAGAGAGACACAGAAGAATTTCAAGTTGGGTTCCGTATTATGCAAATAGGAATTTAGGAGAGGAGGCAAGATCTATTCCAGTATATTCCATTAATGATACTTAAGAGCATTACCATGGACTCCAGTGAATTTCAAGAATAATTCTTGAAATCAATCTCCATTATAGCTCTGGAGGATTCCAAGAGGGATTGCCGAATATCTATTCCCAAGTTATCAATCTCAGAAAGTTTTTAGTAAATCGACAGAGTTAGTCTGGAGAACCAAATTCTAAAGAATCCCAATAAGGATAACCAAGAACCTCAAGTGCGATTCTGTAGAAACTCAAATGGAATTCTAGAGTGTCATTCTCAGTCAAACAGGAAATTCAAATAACTCCAGGAAATATTCTAAAGAATCCCAAACGAAATTTCATACAATGCTAACAGGAGGGGAAGACCATAGCAATGAATTTCAATGAATTCCACGAGGAATTGAGGCGATAAATCTTGTTTGGAATTTTGGAGATTGCATAAAGAAATTATAAAAAAAAATCTTAGCATTTAAATTTCCGAAGTACTCTAAGAAGGATTTTAGAGAATTCCAAAAGTATTTATGGAGAATAAATGAGAAAATCTAGATAATTACCGAAAATCAGAAAATCTCACTAAGACATATCTCAAGAATGATTCCTTATAATCCCAGAATGGAAAGGGAAACGTCTTATTAAGTTGATGTAATGGTGTGATTATGTCATATCAATAAAAGATTTTACTCTACTCCTTTCATTCATATGGCCAATTGATTGAAGAATTGATAATATTGCTTGGAAAGTAGGATTTAAATATTGAAATAACCTTTCCTATTAAGTACCACAATTTCAATACTAACCACTCATCAAAATTTTAAAAAATGTATGATGTAGCTGTATTAAATTGTCATGATTTATTAAATGCTCGATAACACCAATACCATCAAAGTGGAAAACAAATACAAGTAAAGCTTGATTGATTGTCATTTGAGCCTTAATATTATCTAAAACTTTGCCAAATATACAAAAAAATTTCATGATAAAGCTATGTTAAAAAAACAAGCTAAGCATATACACAAACTTCTCTAAAGACCCTGTGTGTCTAAAATAACCCGTTTTCGCGTATTTTTTCCCTCTGTTAGGGACACAAACCACTTCGACCAGTAATTTGATCTAATGTAGTATATCTCGTGTTCTTAGTTTAGTGCCTGTCAAATTACTCCATCACTATTGAGAGATGATGAAGTATTCGGTTTTGATACAGTTGTCATTATTGTCTTCATCGCAAGAAATAGATTCTAATTGAATGGTCCCACTATTTATACCCTCCGAAGAGTGAGAACACCCTCCAAAGGCGCACCCCTTTGACACTCAAAATTTGGATTCCTTAGCAACAAAATTAAGGAATGACACCGATATTGACCATCCCAGACAACCAGAAGTCGTATAACAATGTACAGACAGTATCGTAAATTGCTACAGTTTAAGTCAAAATCGCATATAAGAATGGCATACCTCGCATTATGTTTAAGTTAAATCGTATAGAATGCAAATTTCCGACTTATATTTTATTTTGATGACTCATTTTTCCGTCGTACTGTATCACAAATTAAATCGGATTACATCGTAAGACTTTTCAAAATGAATTTGTTATTACAGATTAAATCGCATATGATGTTAAATCAACTCCTTTAAAATTAAATTAAAATATGCACGTAAATGGCCTCCACTTTTGTACGTATAAGCCATTTCTTTGCATTATATACGAATTGTTTGTTTGTATATATGTTTCTATATCACGAAAACAACTTTGAATATACGTGCATTTTGGTTGTCTGGGATGCATCAGAACCCTAGTCTTAACCACTTAAAACTAGGGAACAACGAATTGAATATTAGGAACAACAAACAGTGTATCTCAAAATTGATCGTACACCCTAGATGACAATTTTTTGAAACATGTTGAATAGATCTATTTTTTAAATCGTCGTTGGTGGTTGAACAGATGCTATTGATTTATTGCTATAGTTTTGGTCTTTATTTGAAGTTAGATTTATTTTAGTAAAACGCTCGATTTTCAACTTTTTACCTAGTGGACGAATTTTATTAAAATTATTGGCATCATCTAAATATGCCTAATACTGAGACAATAATTGATAAATGTACCCTGCCAAAAAATCAGAGACGTATCTTTTTAACTTGTGTTTTTACAGCCGTTTTTCTACAATTTAAATTTAGCTGTACGATCAATTTTGAGATACACTGTAGATGAAAACTAACTGACTCATGTTTTCCCTGTATCAAGATCAGCCTCGGTGGTCAAAGCCGAGGCTTGTCACTATCAGGAAGGCATAAAGTAACAAGGACTAAGATGTGTTCCTTTGATTACCTAAAAATCCTGTTCCCTTAATTTGAAGTAGTCAGGACTAGGAATCAGTGCTGGATCTTACATCCCCTAACGTACCACGAAAAGGGTATCCACCCACGTTACGGGGCTTTCGCGTAATTAATAAAATGCACGTTTTTTGCGCTTCTAAACTACTGTACTTACCATACCAATCAGGTTAAGGCCTTCCCAGACAACCAGAATGCACGTATATTCAAAGTTGTTTCTGTGATATACAAACATATATACAAACAATCAAATCGTATATAATGCAAAAAAAGGCTTATACCTACAAAAGTGGAGGCCATATACGTGCAAATTTTAATTTCTTATTAAACGAGTTGATTTGACATCATATACGATTTAATCTGTCATAACAAATTCAGTTTGAAAAGTTTTACGATATAATCCGATTTAATTTGTGGTACAGTACGATGGAAAAATGATTCATCGCATATAAGTCACAAATTTGCATTCTATACGATTTAACTTAAACACAATGCGATGTATGTCATACTTATATGCGATGTTGACTTAAACTGTAGTGATTTACGATACTGTCAGTACATTGTTATACGACTTCTGGTTGTCTGGGTTGATGTCCTCTGCTATCCGTAAAAGTCATCTCTAACTCTATTCGATCCATGGCCACACGTCGCCAGTCTCGTAGTATGCGAAGAGTCTGCAGGTTACCGTCTGCTTGGTCCATTCATCTTGCACGCTACGCGTCTCTTCTTCTTGTTCCAGTTGGGTTGCTTTCGATAACCATTCTGTTGGGGTGTCGTCCGGCATTCTTACGACGTGCCCAGCGCACCGTAGTCGCCCAATTTTTGCAGTGTGGACGATAGATGGTTCTCCGAGCAGCTGGTCCAATTAGTGGTTCATTCGCCTTCTCCACTTTCCGTCTTCCATATGCACTCCTCCATAGATGGTCCGCAACATATTCCATTCGAAAACACCAAGGGAGCGTAGGTCCTCTACGATGATAGTTCAGGTCTCGTGGCCGTAGATAACCACCAGTCTTATCAGCGTCTTTCAACTTCGTGGTGCAACGAATTTTATTCGACCGGTCTTCCGGAGTCCAAAGTAAAGCACTGCACCAAATTGGACGCAATAACCACCAAATGGAAGCAGCATGGTCTCATAGAATATAATATTTTTGAAATCGGTCAACTGTTTCCGGATATATGACCGGAAAATATTCCGCTGAATACGGGCTTCATAACTAGAAGTGGCCTGAAGCATATCAAACACATCACACGATACATTAACACACATGATAATTCGAAAATAAGATCACAAGGGGTACCTAGGACATTGGCCACAGCTGGTCATGATCCGGGTACCCGCGAAGAAGTGGTCAAATTCATCTTGAATCAAATCCCATCTTGCGACACATCAAATCACATGGAGTATTCGATAACTTGATCAATAGGAGTCATAGTAATCTCCCAGGACCATTTTGGCCACATTTGGCCATGTTCTGGAGACTTGCAAAAAAACGTCAGAAGAAACGTCGCTCATGAATTCATTTGCCCGTTCAAATATTATGCAGCATATAAGTGGGTAGCCTGTCCCCGTACTAAACTTTATGTATGAGATATAGGGAAAGTGTGTGATAAAAGTATATTTAATCGTTGCGTAATATCACAATGAAATATAGAGAACCTATCGAAAATCTCAATAAATTCGCACAGTGTGCATATGCTGCGCAGAACAACTGAAAACATTGAATCAAGTACACCTACGTTCGTAGAACACATTGTTTTCATTTAACTATCCGCTCGCTCCATTCATTCCCGATTATACCAGAGTATTTGCACAAAGATAAGCAGGTACGTCAGAATCTTGTTTGGATACGTGGGTCTGGTTGCATGTTTATAGTTGTACCACTACTGTTGATGATGGTAGATGAGGAGAAGCTGTGTAGAAACAAGATGCTTGAGATTTATCTCTGGTTCCGAATTATTCCTCGTCACCTCGCATAGCAATTTGAGAACGTGTACGCTTGTAACGTGTTGTGCCTGTGCTAGTGTTGCTCGTTTTGAATACAACAGTTTTATGCCGTTGACAAAAGAGCAATCTAACGTTTAACGTTGCAGATATTCTGAATTCATTAGATCAGTAATGTGTGGTTCTTCAGCGTGTGCAGGTCTTTTAAGTTTGACTGAACTGTGTGAATATTGTTTAATTGTTTAATATTAAATGCTAAGACCGATGGTTACGGAATGTATGTCGGAGCATGCTCTAAATCTTTAAATCGTAAATTGGTTACGTTGTGAAGTTCCAGATTGTCAGAATGAGTTCAATGGATCGTGATCGAAAAATGATTTTTCGCTACGGCGAAAATCTGGAGTATCGATCAAACTTTGTGGTAGCTTCGCCTGAAGAAAACAATATTGAATATTCAAGAAAAGGAGGATGTTTCGTATCCATTTGCCGTGGAATTAGTATTGCAGTCTTGATTTTCGTGTTCATCTTTTTCATGTCATTTACAATATTCTTCAGCACTAAATACGCATATGAGGTATGTCATTAATTACGTTGCTTTATTGTGCCTAATCTTATATGGTGAACTTCTTATCTTCAGCATAAACCCAACATTACGTTGGAAGATTTTCTGAACCATAGGGCATATCTGATCGACAAACGGTCGAGGATACCGAAACATGTCATACCCAAGCACTATCGTCTTTTCATTCATCCAATTTTTAACGAAACAGAAAATCCCTTCACATATAGTGGAGTCGTGTGGATTACAGTAACTTCAAAAAGGCATAACAATAAGCGGATTGAGTTAAATGTGAAAAATTTAAATATAAAAATGGAAGACGTGACTGTTCTGAAGAGCATACGGCTAACTAACCTGGATTTTGACGAGGATCTTGATTGGGATTTAAGCGAAGAAGATTTACTACCACGATTCCGAATGAGGCGACAAGTTTCCGGCACAAATGACACACTCGATTTGGAAGATACCTTTGAGGATGTAAGAAACCAAACAGCTGATGGTTTAGATGGTTTAGATGATGTTCAGGATAATGAAAATGAAATTGATGGAAGTAAATACTACTTTCACCCAGTGTTTCCACCAGATGATTTCGTAACCATCAAAATATTGGATCTGGAATTTGATGAATCGAATGAAAAAATGATCATTTATCTTGGAACGGAAATGAAGAAAGACATTTACTACATCGTCAAGGTTAATTTTACCGGTAATATGACCAATGATAAGGGTTTATTCGTTACGCATTACGAGGATGGCGAAGAAAATCATAAGTACCTTGCATTTTTTTTTTGCGTTTAAATAACATAAATAATTCAAATGTTTCTTCGAGGTTCATAGCTGCTAGTATATTGGAACCTAATAATGCAAGAAAACTATATCCGTGCATGGATGATCATAACTTTCGGTGGGTTGTGTTAATATCAATATATGAGCGACTTAACATAAAACACTTTTGCAGGTCACCTTTCGAGATAAACATTGCAAGGAAAGTCCATATGAACACCGCATCCAGCTTAAACCGTGAATTATCAGAACCAATGTATGTTGATCTAGATTCCAAAATGGTTGTGCACTTTTTAAACCAAAATGTAAAAGTTTAGAATTTCGAAGGAAATCTGTTCTCACCCAAAACTAGCTTGATTTTTATCTTTCTTACAAAGGGTGGTTCAAAATATCGATTTTGCCAGGATCAAAATTAATCGATTTCAAATTAGGTTTTGCTAAATCTCTTAAAATTTTATTAAATTTGGGTGTGAGCTCATACAGGGGCCCTCTAAAAACTGTATGGAATTACTATGGGTTCATTCTACATTCTAGCCATTCGCTGTAATGATAGAAAAGTTTGCTATTTGTGACCTTCTGAAAGCAAAATTGACATATTTTATATGTCATACACAAACTTTACCACCTCCTCTTGCATCTTACAAATAAAAATTATCATTATAGTATTGAAACTAATGATCTGCCCGACAACAACTCAGTAGCACGAGACTCCTTGAACTGTGTCTCAGAGTCGGCGCAATACTGGGCAAACTGGAAGGGCTACGCGGACGAAAAGGCACTCAAGTTTTCAATTAAGCTGAAACACAGCGCGGATCAACTTTAACACTGTATTTTCTCCAATTAACGATAGTGTGGATTGTGTGGTGTTGTGATCGATTTTCTTGGCACATGCCATTGATGACGATGACGACAACGACGACTGCAGACTAGCGAGCGCTCGCTGTGGTTCCGGAATGATCCTGTCGATGGCGGATGATTAAAGGCCGATCTTGTCGGCAAGATGGCGGTACCACCGCTTGGTGAAATTCCGGTACAATTCGGACAATGGCGGAGGAAGCGAGGCTGACCGAACGTCGGCTGTAGTGCGATGGCGGGTTGGTTTTACCGGGGCTGGTATAGCGGTTTGTGGAGACCGATGCACAGGCGCTTTCTTCTGACGAAGGCGGTCGACGACGGCAAGGCCGCCCTCTGTCGAACCGGGAAGGAAAATTCTCCTTGGCGTTTAGGGCCTTCAGCCCGAGAACGATGTCCTTCACGTTTAGGTCAAGGTAACTAAATGTCACCTAGACTGTAGCGTGCAATGGTGGTCCTTGACTCACCAACCAGAAAACCATTTTATTGGTTGAAAAAGAAAGGTCCTGAATCAGCTGAATTGGTGATTTAAACTTCACCTTGATTCACTACTCGCACTTAGTATTCTGTTAAAAGATTATACTCCACAGACACTTCTGGTCTACACGCTCGCCTGAGATAAAGTCAACGTTGGCCGTTCTATAAGCATTGCAGAACCCTTCAACTCATCACCCGTGACTCCGTGTCACCATTTTGCTGCGGCCATTATTCAGCAGTTGGCCGTTAAGCATGGCCGTATCGTCTGCCCAGTGGGTTTTACCGCAAGAGTTAAATTTATTTGAATGCTCGATCACATGGTGCATATTTAAAATATTGTATTGGACAATGTAACAGAACGGTTACATTATCTCATTGTTTCATAATTACGAAAAATAGCATTTTAGCTGTAATGAGCTATTGCAAGCCTGCGTGATAGTATACGACCTATCACCAGAAGTCCCGGATAATGATCTATAGTTGGTGCTGGGGAAATACGGTGATGTGAAACATGTCAGTTGGGAAAAAATCCCAGCCGCCTTGGGCCTTGATATGCTGAAAGGTGTACGCGGATTTTACATGGACGTAAAAAAGGAGACTCGCTACATTTCCTCAATCGGAAGCGGAACATATTCTATCATTGGAACAACAGCTTGTGTTTTCTTTGTATGATGGAGGAGTATCTTTCTGAACTACTGTCCCAAGCGAAAGGAACAGAAGCAGCCAGTACATCAACAACAGGAAGAAGAAAACAAACCACGGAACGAAGAAGAAACGCTGATGTGTGGAGGTGCCTCGTCAATGGGCAACGATAAAGGCACAGAGGAAGTGGTTGAAGTGTTTGCAGAAGAAATAGTGGCGATGTATGTGACGTCTCCGGATGCTGACAAGAACAATTTCGAGCAAGCAAGCGCTACTCAGAAACAGCAGCCGTCTGTTTTCAAAAATCGAAACGACGCGTGTTACTAGTATTACTACTACAAATTCGGGATAGAGGACGAGAAGGAACGGATAAAAGACTAAGAGGAGACCAAGCGGTGGGCGCTGGTGAAGGAAAAACAAATGAAAGAAGCAAGGGAATTGAGGGCACGGCTGAAAGCTCAAGTCACCTCCTAGGAAGAGTAAGAAGAACTCATAACCATTGTCCCTATTTTTTTATTGTTAATATAAAAATTATACTGGTTTTCGGCTCCGAGAATTCCTTTGTACATTTGAGCCTGATCGAAAAAAAAACTTTAGAGGGCCAGTGTAGTATGAGGTCGCATCCAAATGAATCAAAGTTTTGAGATATTCATCAGAACCTGGTTTGGAAGGAATCTATTGAGCTTTGGGGAACAAAATCGATAATTTAAACCACCCTAGTTTTTTTTTATCTCTTCGACTTTTCAGATAAAAATTAGGAATTATAAAAAATAACTGTCAAAAAGATCATCAAGTTACCCGTTTCAGAATATCTTCGTCCCATTCTGGGATCACTGTCACAAACAAGTCCCAAATGTCGAAAAGAAGATTTTAAAACATGTAATTCATTGAAAAAGCATTTCAACAAAAAAATATACCTCAAAAGATTTCACCAACATCTGAGGCCACATTGCGCAGCTCGAAACAACAAACTTTTTCATACAAGCGTTCGTACATAAAATGTTTCATTTCGAGCTGCGCAATGTGACCATAAAACATATTGTAGCTGATTATTTAAAAATAATTACATGCGTAAAGTTTGGTAGCGACACGGTCGAACGTTTTATGTCTTTGTAAACTCTCTACATTTTATCGTCAGGGGTTGTAAAGTTTTTGAGCGGTTAATTGAGACCAAACAAAACCCTGAATCAATATATAAAAAATAATCCTTAAATTACTCCCCCGAACGTTAATATTTAGGAAAAACATTAAATAGACGAAATTCACCCTTATTATTTGTTGAACAAATAAAAAATCATCGGTTTCTTAGGGAAAACGAGGCATTTGTTGTGGATACGTATAACACAACTGGGATGATAAGAGCCTCAGAGATTGGATTCATAATCACAGATATGACACCGGAACGGTACGAATTGACAGATAAAGTACATTTGATTGCTTACACGAGAAACAGATATGATAACTATCTGAAGGAAATTGTTTCTATATTTGCTGCTGTTATGAAAGTCTACGAACAATATATGCGCACTAATTTCCCGTACCAGGCAATCAAATATGTTACCATTCCTAATGCGGACAGAACGGTAAGAGAAATCAAGGAAGGCATGATTTTATCGAGGTAATTGCCGTATTTTCATATAAGAATTTATTAATATAGCTTTTAAAATTTGCAGCGAAAAACGGCTCATCAAGGATCCATCGTACTTCCCCACCACTGATGATTCATTACTTCGAGTTATTTCAAATGAACTTGCAAAGCTTTGGATTCACAACCTTGCTGATTACAAGAATAAAGAATTGTATTGGCTTCACGAATCCATTCCTTTATACATGGAGTCGGTGGCATTGAAGATGGTATTCATGGTTCTATTGAACAGTGTTGCTCTTAATTCTCAGTCTTTCCATATTTGCTATTTCAGTTGAACAATAATTCCCTTGATGTGGATGATTTCTTGTTGGAAGGTAAAATGCGTGCCATGCAAGAAGAGGTCAACACAAAAACATCACCATTGAATGTTCTAACGAATCCCTGGGAAGAAGACGTCCATTTTGAACTAGTTCGATATAAGGGACTTAGTTTGCTGCGTATGATGAATTACACCCTTGGGGAGGAAACTTTTGATGCATTCATTAGAGAGTACTTTGTGCAAAGGATGAATAATGATTCTGTAGATATTATAGAGATTCTCAACAACAACAATCGTCACACTAATGGAATATTCAACAGCTTTCTTCATAGCTGGTCAAATTTTGAAAAGTATCCAATTATAGTAATCCAAAGAAACAACTATAGTGGGCATTTCGAGTTACGTCAGCAAATGATTCCTTTCGAGGAGGAAATAAGTGAACAAATTTGGACAATTCCAATAACATTCATCAATGATACTAATCAGCAACTGTTTTTTGAAAAAATTCGTTGGCTCATAGATTCTAGCAATTTACTAAAAATAGAAACAAGCTGCGAGCTGATAACGAACAACACGTGGATGATAGTAAACCCGAGTGGAATAGGTAAACACTAGGTGTTAAAAATCTGCGACATTATTCAAACTGTATTGCGTTCTATTAAAACAGGATATTATCGAGTAAACTACGAGCTGGCACACTGGATGAAACTGGCGAATGTGTTGAACGCGAATTTCAAAACACTGCCTTACAGCACATTGGCAACTATCATAGATGATGCACTAAATTTGGCTCGCCTTGGACTGCTAGACTATTCGGTTGCGTTCAATGTTATTTCTTTTTTGAGGAAAAATGATGATCTTTTCCAACCTTGGAAAAGTGCCCTCGATAGTCTGAAATTTATCTACGAAGCATTGGAAGATCATCCAAGTTTTATACACGTAGAGGTGAGCGGGTTGATATTTTGAAAGATTTCTTTTTTAAAGCTTCTTTATTTTAGAAATTCCTTAACTACTTGATAGTAGATAAATACGAAGATCATGTTATCAATGGCAACAACCGAAATTCAATGATTTCTCCACTGTTGATAGAATGGGCCTGCAGGTTGGGCGTTGCAGCGTGTATAGAGGAGCAAAAGCGAATTTTCAGAGGAGTTTTTATAGAAGGCACATTTTCGGCATTTCATCGGTCCGAGAACGAGCTTTTTCTGTCTACCTGTACAGTTATCAAATATAGCGGTACAAATGAGTGGACATTACTGAAGGATAAATTTTTGAACTCAGAAGATATCAACCTACAGAAAATCATAGTGAAATCTCTGGGATGCACTCGTGAAATAAGTTTAATTAGGAAAACCCTGGATTTACTGAAAGACCCACTGTTTAACATATACAATCACCATATACTCTCTTCTATTAGTAACAATAAGATAGCACTAAAGTACACCTTAGATTACCTGTATAACGAATGGATTGATGCTAGAAAGTATCTATCTTTGTCAGATTTATCAATTCTGCTTAGGAAAATATCGACAGAAAATGAATTCACAATGTATGAACAAATATTCTTCCGATATTCTTATACTTTCCAAACCATGGATAAAGAAATATTGAAGCGCATGCGAGACATGATAATCAAACTGATAAGATGGAAAAAAGAGATTGGCCCTACTATTTCCTACAATCAAATGATGTTTGATCATGAGGACAAATAAACAAGTAAATTACGAGTAATATGATGTGAAAGAATGTAGACAATAAAAAAAAACATAGTAATTTCAACTACTAGATCATCATAAAAGCTTCTAAGCTTTTAACCAAAGTAATTCTTCATATAAGCCTGTATAATCACAATTGTTTATGTATAAGCAACATGAGCTCTTTTGAACATAATGTAATTACCGTAGTAGATTTTAGTTATTTTAAGGTTAGGTGAAATTATTAATCAAATATCGGTATTCTCATGAACCTCATATCAAACCATTGATATTTCATTTATGGTTTAGACGTTTAGACGAAAGAAAGGGAATACGATAGGCTCTGGGTCTATTAAAAATGGTTGAGAACTAGGTATTGTGTTGTTATTGTAATTAAACAATAAAAATAAATGACGCATTCACGAGGTCTTTCATTGCACTCGAAAGTAGGTTTGCTTCCAATGATTCCATAATTCAGAAAAACATTTTTTATAGTCGATCTTGTTTTCCGTGCTGAGCACCAATGCCACCAACGCTAGGGAGGCAGCTCCCACACCTGGACCCTACCTATCGACTCATCAACTCATGAACCGGGGACCAACGGCTTTACTTCCCGTGGCGTGAGATGTTATGCCTTGGAACATCCCGGAAGCGCCGACTGGGATTGAACCCAGGCCTGCTGGGATGAGAGGCTATCACGCTTACCCAAATCTGTGGACTGTATGATTCCGTCCTGAATAAATACTCAATTTAAACAAGGGATAGAATTGCTCTATATAAATAAAATAAACTTAACATGGATTATAAAAAAAAAACAGAGTTAAAAATTTCCTACTTAACAATCCCATGTTCTGGTCAACTCATTTCTAATGTATGTACATTTATATTTAGATCGGAAGTACATGTTTGCAAAAAAAAGGTCAGTAAGTATGTGCTTAAAATGAATTCTGAATCTGTTTTTTTTATTCTCCCTGTAAAATGTATATTTTTGAATGTGTTATGCTACATTTACGTAACTTAACATGAAGATTATATAATTCCATAACCTCTCATTACAAACACTTTCCTTGTTAATCCTATTCAGATAGAATTTGGAACTGTGAATCAAGATATTACTTTGTTTTTGAACCGAGACTCGTTATCTTTGTAATATTTCTGAGCAAAGTCACAGAGAACCGTTACTTTTAAATTTTCCTTGATGGCGTGTTGCAGTGCTGCCTAGAAGTATTAGACACAAATAATAATCTAAACTGTACAGAGAAATATTTAAAACTCACTTCCACAAGTTTTTTACCAACACCTTTTCCCTGAAAGATCGGTGGCACTTCCGTATGGTCGATGCTGATTCGACGATTCTTTTGGTCATACGTATAACTTATGAAGGCCTTGCTGTCGTGCAAACGCACGGTGAACTCTGTGTGCACTGGGTCATGTTCGACCGTCAACACACTTGAGCAAAAATTTGCTTTTGCCAAGCGAGTTAGGTACTTCGAGCGAGGAACTACTTGCGACGGAATCATTTTTGAGCCCTGAATGATACTCCTTTTGTTTAGATTTAGACTTGACATATTATGTGTTTGCTGTAAATCAGATTTTATTATTTTAATACTGGCCTTGAATAGAGCATCTAGCAAATGTTTTTCTAGAATTGAATTGGTTCACTCCGACGTCGATACCAGAACAATTTGACAAGTCTGATCGGGAAGGATTCTAGTTGGAGCTTACCACCATTAAATCTATATACAGTACACGGTAAGAAAAAAGTACTTAAAATTAAGTTCTTTTCACTCATCTCGGCGTGCAGGAAGCCAAAACAGTTTTCATTGACTTGCATGCAATTCGTATGAAATTTTCCACTCGCTTTCTACCCAAAGGTAAGTTAATTGTACCCAAAAATAGGCAAATATGATGATTATACTCATCGCTGGGATCCCTATTCAGGGCCTATTTTTGAGTCGAAAACAACTCAGTCTGGCCAGACTGCAGATTGGGTAAATTTTACTTAGTTTGATGGAAACCAATTTAATATTGACAAAAAATTGTTTTAAAGAATAATATGAGAAATAATAATAAATAATCGATTATTTAAAATGAAACCATTGCTTACCGTTGTAAGCAGTTCGAGGTTTAGTTAGCAAAAATAAATTCTGACTTTTATCAGCTTTTTCCTCCAAACAGCATATTAAAAGTCTTCCGGGATCTGTTTGCTAGAGTTTGGAATGCCACACAGAAAACCTCAAAAATTAAAACTTTAAACGATTTATTTAATTAATTATATGATTTGAGTAGTAGCTATACTGAAGATCCGAGAGATGTCGCCCCTTCAGTGGTAGGAAAGTCATTTTTGCAGTATGGAGAATATCAGAAAATCCACGATTTGTGACTAAACATGCTTTCACAGAAGGAAACAAATAAACGAGTGTTTACCTTATCACCATAGTAATGTACTCGTGCAATTTTTGTGCATCTAAAACTGCCCATAAAGTGGATAATGAATAAAAACTGAAAATTTCCATGCATTTTCAAATGGTTTCCTACCATTCCCATACATTCGAAGTGACTGGCCCTCTGGATGTGGATGATGTCAAAAACAACAAAACATGATTAATTCCAAAAAACTTACTTTGCTGATAGCTTTCGCTGCTCCATTTTCGACAGTTAATACTTTGAAAAATAGAAATATAGCCACTGCGCACCTCTACAGCTTCACCGTTCGCCATATTGAAAAAGTTTAATAACAATTGTGTACTCAGAATCTGGGTAGATTCTACTTATCAGTTTCTACAAATCTAGAAATTTTTTTTTGACAATTCCGTCACTGGGTAAACTCAGAATAGCGTGTATACTGAAGACTGTATAGAGGTATAGACCTTTTTGACGTTTAATCGTCTTTCTCTATCTTGCACACAGGGATGAATGGATGGTTTGTTTCCCACTAATCTGTTTCCCTCTTGCTCGCACTCCTTCAATAGAGATTGCTAAAGTGTGATTGTGTCAGTGATTTGTTTTCATCTGGAAAATGTTTCACTATGAAGTTTTTTTTTCCCGATGAAATCATTTTGCGTATACGTATACGTAACGTAGTGTGCATACAATAAACGTCAGCAAGCTCTATTTAAATGGTGCATTAGTGTGCGCCGATTAAACGTCAAAAAGCTCTATACTTTAATTTATAAGCGTGTGTGTATGTCTGTGTGTGTGTCATCTGAACGTATAGGATTTGAATTGTATTGTATATGGATATCGGTTGCTAACTAATTCCATAATGACATAAGTTATTTATGCAAGAGAAATGCGAGACCGAGATTTGTAAAGCATACAAAAAAGATCTAAAATCAAAATTTAAATTTTATGTAGCATGTACACACCGAACCGCATGTACATACGTATTGTAGCTTCCAGATGACGAGCAATGTTTACTTCGTGCGCCAACCTTTTTGATTTTTAGTCTTTGTGGATAGTTGTCATGGAGACGTAAACAAACTAGATATTAGTTTAAAAAAAATTGTGTAAAAATTATCAGAAAAGGTTTATAAGTAGGAAATTATAACAAAAATGGACGAACAGGATTATAAAAATGTGATTTTATACTACGGTCGTGAAAAATTGTATCGCACTATGCACCGCATCATTTTGGAGGCAATGGCAAAGTATACTGCAGATGCCAGTTTCAGATATTTTAACGGAATCGCACTGATTCTTGAAGGAGTGAGGTTGCAAGAAGGTATTCGGGAGCTGAACCAACTACAAGGAGACAAAGAATTGGGAATGGCTGTACTTTTAAGTTTAATGTATGCTCACAAACGGTGTAGCGTCATTGATAAGGAAGAGTTGGTGAGCCTGGACAGTAGGCTGAAAGAGGAACGAAAACGGCTATCTTCATTATCTGCCTACTACTCATCTTTATTTCTGTATCTAACGGGAAAAATCGATAAAGCACGAGAATATGCCGACAAAGCCCAAAGGTTAAGCCCTAACAATCCGGAAATACTGTCATTAAAAGGATGGTGTGAGTTAGTTTCTAACAAAAACCGATCTTCATTTATTCTTGAACTGTTCGACAAGGCTCTTGAACATGGGAAGCAAATCGATGCCAACATTGGACAGGTACGATATCATCAATTAAACAACGATTTCGAAGCAGCTATTACTGTGTTAAACCGATTATCTGTGCGCTATCCTGATCTAAACATACCACTGATTGAAAAAATGAGATGTCACCTTTCCAATTGGAACTGGGATAATGCGATTGAGACGTCGACGAGGATTCTCAACTTGGAACCGACAAATTTAGAAGCACTACAAGTAAAAATAATAATTCTCATAGCTAAAGATGGCAATTGCACCAGCAGTGCTTCGGCTTTGCAATACTTACTCACTACTATGGAGAAAATAGAGCCTGCGAATGGGGATCTTTTCATGCGCATGGGGCAACTGTTTTCGCGAATATGTGGAAGAAATACTACAATTCTAGCACACACCTACTCATTTGTAGAGAAGGCCTATAAACTCAATTCAAGCAATGCGGAATACATCACAGAGCTGGGTTATCAAAATGTTCTCCAGCAAAAGTATAAAGAAGCAACAAAATTGTTTAAATTAGCCTCTAAACTAGACGATAGCTCAATGTATGCTTTATGTGGATTAACATTATGCCAAATGATGGAAACAGGTATCTCTGAACAAGTTTCTCAACAAATTGAGTTTTTGACAGAGATTCAAGGAGAGGATAAAGTACCTTTACTTCTGCTGATGTCTTCAATGCTACTACATGCGGAACACGACAAGGCAGTACAGCTTCTTGTTCAAGCCAGTGAAATTCAGTTTAAGAATTTAAACACACTATCATATGGGCTGGAATATCTGAGGCAGTTCAATCCAGATTTCCTACTACAGTTAGTAAAAGAGCTTCTGAAGCATGCTCCCGCGGACCAGAGTGCTGATATGATGTCTGTAGAATCGTTGCACCCATCGCTAAGACACAGTGTAAATATATTGGATTCAATTGTTAAAGCTTGTCCAGGTTTAGTAGAAGCTGCATATCTATTGGCACGAGTGCAATTTCTCAGCGGTGAAATTGGCGCTGCTGCTGCAACTTTACAAAAAATTCTTCAAGAAATTGATCCTACATACTCAGAAGCCCATTTGTTGATTGCGCATATTCATATCCAGCAAAAATCATTCCAAAGAGCTGCACAGAGCTTGGAAATATGTCTTAGTCACGACTTTAAAGTTCGGGACAATCCAATGTACCACCTTTTGCTGGGAATCGTATACAAAAATCAACAGCGTTACGATGAAGCTTTAAAAAGCTTTTTCATTGCAATGGGAATCTGTGGAATTAATTCCAATGGCAGTCAATGTAGACCGCCTTCCAATAACAAATCTGATGGAAAAGCCCTTGGTGTATCGGACATGTTGACACTGTACTTGGAAGTTATTAATACTCATGTTTTGATGAATCAAAACTCAGAGGCATTGAAATTGATGCAATTGGTTTCGACCGAGTTTTCATCAACAACGGAAGAAGGAAGGCTAACCGTAGCAACGGCAGATTTTTATATGCATCAAGGAAATTTCTCTAAAGCTATTGAACTGCTGAAAAACATTGGACCCAATCAACCGTACTATGTACAGGCGAAAACAAAAATGGCTCATTTTTACCTGGTTCATAAGAAAGACCGTTTAGCTTATGCTCAATGCTTTCGAGAGTTGGTCTCTAACTGTCCGGGTCCGTCGAGTTATTTGATGTTGGGTGATGCGTATATGTCAATACAAGAAGCAGATGATGCCATTGAAGCATACAAACAAGCTCATAAGCAGAATCCAAGAGATGCATTGCTAGCCAGTAAATTGGGAAGGGCTTATGTGAAAACACATCAGTATAAGAAAGCAATTTCCTACTACCAGGAGGCAATCAACACACCGGAAAACAGTTTGCTTAAGCTTGATTTAGCTGAGTTATACTTGAAACTTAAAAAGTATTCGAACGCAGAACAAACTTTGGTGGATGAAATTGAGCTCTCTAAAAAGTAAGTACCTAAGACTATATGCTTTGTTGTTTCATCCATGATTTATTTTGTTTCAGAGAAAATGAGGATATTTCAAAACTTCAGACCAGAACAAAACAGCTTCTTTTATTGGCACGAGTTCGAGAGAAAGCCGGGTATTTAAGCTCATCGTTGAACACTTTGAAGGAAGCTCGCGATAATCAGTTTAAAATACTGAAACGTTCAGCAGTGGATCAGAATGGAACACTTCATGAGCAAAATAAAATACTGGTGAAGTATGTATGATTGTTACTATTAGGGAGAGTTAGCTGTTCATAAACTGTTCGTGAGCCTACGTATTTCAGCAAAAACAAGAGATTTTTGATTGAAACCTTTAAAGCTGCAACTTAAAAACAATTTAAAAAATTATAACTATCGAATCGCAAAATTTATCATTTTAGCACAGAGAACAGACGTTCAAGCTCGGTCAGAAACTTGTGTAAAATAAGTGGGAACGTCGCCGTTACGTGGTGTTAGCATCTCTTGATTTTCTCTATAAATTTTCCACTTTCGACCAATTTGGCGCTAGTATCGATACATTTTCTGTTGAAAATTGCCACTTGGCGCTACCTGCACTTAGTGTCTAGTGTAATTTGTGCAACGCCAGCGCCATCATGTTGTCAAAGAGGGTTTTTAAGTGGGAAAGTCGCCGTTAGTGGCGCTTAAGTCAAATAGGAATCTTTACACAAGTTTTTAGAGAAATGTTGTTCGAGCCTCCATGTCTGTTCTCTGTGATTTTAGGGAGCAACGTACAAGACGTATTATCTGTTTGACCAATTGAATACTAGACTGATTCAAAATGTGAAACTTTCGCTATACAGTTCTTAAACGGCTTATCTCTTAAAGAAGATGAAGAAGAAGCTTAATCGGTTCAAATCGAGTCCTGATTAAATTTGAACTCGTTTGGTTAGACTTTCTTACTTAGAACTACGTCTTTGTGGACCATACTAAGGTGCAAATAAAAAAAGTGTGATGAAATAGTGACAGGTTTTCATCGCTTATGACATGGCATTTATGAATAAAGTTCAATTTTAATTACACCATTTTGTACAGATTGAATTTAATTTTTTTTTATATAAAGATGATTGTTCTTTATCAATGGTTATCTCTTGAATATTGATCAAAATTTTCAGCCGTAATTACTCTCAAGAGAACAGAGAGACAAGCCTAAATACTCAGTAGTATTTTTTCTTTGCTTTTTTCTATACATTAACCTAGATTAGCAAAATTAAAAAAAAAAATGGTTGGGCTTAGAATGCTAACTTAAATGCTTAAGTAAGAGAATCGTAGAAAATTTGACTGTGGAGTACTTTAAAGAGGAGTTCGTTGCATTGTATACTGAAAACAAAACCAGCCCAGAGAGTGATTAACTTTTATTCAGATGTTAGTCACTTTTACTCATTCGTATAGCAAATTTTCTAAAAGCGTAGGTCACTCTCAGTTTATGAGTAACCTGCGCTTTTAAAAATTCCTCCATACGAATGAGTAAAATTAACTCACTCTCTGAGCATGATTCCTTTTTTTTGTAACTTACCATCTCGGCTCGAAAAAGAGTGTTTCAGAATGCATTTTTTGTATGGGTCAAACGAAAACAAGAATATTGGTTTTTTTTTTATTCTTTATATGATAGATTTTTAGCCATAGGCTAGTTCATCTCTTAAAGAATATTGGTGAATATCGCCACAACCTAAAAAATAAAAATAAATGCTTAACAAAGGGGCACACCTGCAGTAAAAATCTTTGGATTATTGACCGGATATTTGATAGAATTAATTAAACACACTCGATTCAGTCCTATGGACATAAAAAAAGATTCATAAAATTTAAACTTAACACAGAAATGCACAGATTTCAAGTTGTGCCAGTATTGCACGAAACTGACGATTTGAAATCTTTTTCGAAAGAAAAGAGGAGAAAGAATAATGAAAGTTAGCGGCACCGGTGGTGTAGTGGTAAACGTGATTACCGCCGGAATTTTCTGAGGCATAAAATCTCTGTTCACGCCTTCCTTCGGAAGGTAAGTAAAGCCGTTGATCCCCGGTATATGAGTTGTTTGGTCGATAGGTAGGTAAAATAAATAATGAAAGTTATGAAAACTATAACTATAACAAAAAAATATATTTTGCATATTTGGGGTTTAATTAATTGTATTCCGTTTATTCAATGAAAACGTTTGCTACTTTAAGTTAAAGTTGTTTTGCCATTGCTAACATTACTAAATTTCCGAAAATTGGGTGAACATGTTTGGAACCTAATTATGAACCATAAAGGACCTGATTTTCTAATTTCCAAAAAATAATTAGGATTTATTCAATAGCCGCCCGATTTCAAAACATTGAATAATTAATTGTTCATTCTGGAGTTAAATTTCTAAACCATTTATTTTGTTATCAATATATTATTATGGATCAGCAAAAATAATCTCGTAGTCCCCACGTCAACAATGCGGTCGTACTTTGGACACAAAACTTAACTTTTTTGATGTTTATTTTTTTCCGTTTTGAGCTGGAAATGCTGGTGGCCCTATAGAACACTAATGAATATTTTTGTAATCGGTCAACCGCTTCTCGAGATATGACCGGAACAGGATCCAGTTACTATGGATACCGTTTTTAGACTATAGGCAACCCAAACGTATCAGATACAACATGTGGCACATCACAATACATGAGAACTCGATAACAAGATTAATGGTGGTCAAATTAAGTACCCAGGAAAACATTGGCAACACCGTCCAGACATGTTCTGAGTACGCCTAGCGAAGTGGCCAGAATCTGACTTAAATTAAAACCCGTCAACACCTCAAATCAACATGATAATTCATAAATAAGATCATTGGTGGCCAAATTGACTGGTCTAGAACACATTGGACGTCATAGTCATCAACATATTGAATGTGAGTATGATTAGATATTACCATAGGTGGGAAAAAAAATTCAAGTTTGCAAAGCATTTATGTGTACAAATATGTGCATCATGTAATTCACTAACTTTGAATAGATCAAGGTATTCCAAACATACTAGCAGATGGATAAAAAAATACGGAATCGCTAATTAAGTTGCAGCAGTAGTTAAACATGAATTTTATTCAGCAATTAAAATTTATGCCATCGACATTACAACAACATGGATACTCTCCAGTAGTCCGTTGGGGATAATATTTATAGCACAATTGGTTGAAAAAGAAAATGTCTTTACCAACAAAAAATAATTCCAATTGCAGAATTTGTGTGCTGATGGCAGAGCAGTCAATTGCAATCAGGGACAATGAGCAAGCTATTCATCACTATCGCGAAGCACTTAGGATAACCCCGACCGAAGTCAGTTTACTGTCTGCATTAGCTCGAACCTATATGCACTTGAACAATATGGACCAATGTCAGTCGACATGCGCTACCATACTACAAATTGATCCAAACAATGAGGCAGCTTCGGTTATGATGGCTGATTTATCATTCCGAAGGGTTTGTTGCTAATTATTTGTTGGATACAAATCTACGTTAAAAATTAAATCAAAATCTACCTTTCAGATGGATTTCGAAAATGCTGCCTTTCATTTCTCTCAGTTGCTGCTATCACAACCGACTTACTGGACGGCGCTGGCAAGGTTGATAGAGGTCATGCGGCGATCAGGAAGCTTACATGATGTTCAGCAGTTTTTGCACCGGGCCGAAGATGAATGTTTACGTCCAGATACCGAGGCTGGATTGAATTACTGCAAGGGCTTGAATGAATGGTATGGGGGCAATCCAAACAGTGCTCTTAGATTTTTCAACAACTGTCGTAGAGATCCGGAATGGGGTCAACAAGCTATTTACAACATGATTGAAATTTGTTTGAATCCAGACGGAGATCTTCCGAACGAAGGGGTGATCGATATTGGAGCTGATGATCTGGAAATCAAAGATTCCAGAGCAATGGCCCTAAGAACTGCTGAACGATTGCTGAAGGAACTAAAGCCTCGTCCTGGTGTCATTGATAACGAAGCACTAAATCATCGATTGTTGGAAAATTTTCACTTGCTTGCATCTAGACAAAAGCACAATATCGATCGTTCATTGCAAGATTTCACAGCAATTGCCACTCAAGAAGAATATAAAGAACATGTGGGAGCAATCTATGGTATGGCATCAGCATACGTTATATCAAAACAATCACAAAGAGCTAAAAATCAGTTGAAAAGAATTGCCAAAACGAATTGGACATTCGAGGAAGCTGATTATCTCGAAAAGTCTTGGTTACTGTTGGCCGACTTGTACCTTCAAGCTGGTAAATTTGAAATGTCTACAGATTTACTGAGACGTGTTCTAGAGCACAACAAGTCATGCACTAAGGCATATGAACTTTTAGGACTGCTTTCAGAGAAGGAGCAAAATTATCGCAATGCAACAATGTATTATGATTCGGCATGGAAATGTAGCGCCAAATCGAAACCAAACATCGGCTATAAGTTAGCCTTTAATTATATGAAAATTAAACGATATGCTGAAGCTATTGACATTTGCCAGCAAGTATTGAAGATCCATCCAGACTATCCGTCAATTAAAAAGGACATTCTCGATAAATGCAGAAACAATTTGAAAAATTGAGCGTATCGTCGGTCATCGAATGAAAATAAAATCTTCAGATATTCCGTCCAGTACATTATATTTATTGATATTTCATACAACATACATATAATATTCATTAAATAGACATAATGCATATATCTTATTTGATTTTGTTAATTTGTTTTATATATAGTTGATAATCCGAACCTCCACGAACTACAGGTCAAGGTACATAATTTTAGTTGCGGATATTGCACCGCAAAAACTCAAAAATGCAGCTACACTGACGACAGCGGTTGTTGTACCAGTCCATGAAACGATTGATCCCATACAAATGGACAGTATGAATTGGGCTAGGAATACCATGCTGCTTACGATAGCTACGTCGGTTCCCAACCCTCTGACAGTGGCCTCTTGCTTCACATCGCCTTCAGCGACTACTTCGAACTGAAACGATTAAAAAAAAAAACCGTTGGAAATGTTAATAATTCACCCTATTTCAAAGAGTTCTGCAATCATACTTACAATACCCTCTGAATGGTAGTGAGCCACTAGCAAATATGGCATTGTGAATAGTGTGGAATACATTACACCTGCAGTCCAGCTAAATATTATGACACCAGCACGATGTTTGGCTAGAGCCATGAGCGTCATTCCACAAGAGTAAAAGAGTAATCCACCTACGTAAACCCTTCGGGCCTTAAAACGTTTGATCAGCTTTTCGATTACCAATGAATAGCAAGCACAAGAAAGTGAGTACATAGCCATACCCCAGCAGCCAAACCGGACACCTTCTTCATAGTTTATGTATTCTTCTGTTCCATCTAACGCCTGAAAGAACAAACTATTAATGCAAACTTTTTATGAAATATAAAAATCCCTATTTACTTTTGGGTTCCCTCCAAATACCGCTTCTCCTACAAAATCCGTAAAATACAGCGAATAGCAAACATGTGCCATCCAGCAAAAAAGGTTAGTTAAGCAAACCATCCGAAGCGAGTGGGGCATGAATATTATAGACTTTAGGTATGTTTTCAGAGTAATTGCTTCGCTCTTAGATAGAGTATCGGTAATATCTACGTTCTCTGTAGGTTCGTTCTTAGTGAATGAGGTTTCAGCGCAATTGTTTCCAGGGAGCACATCATAGTCGCGGTTTACACTTGATGCCGGCATCGTGTACCTTCGCAGATTATTCTGGTGGTGATGCATTTTTTCTTCTTCGATGCTTCCGTACGATGCGGTTTCAATTTTCTCAAGAACATCTTGTTCGGACATAGCTTTTGTAATCTTACAGACGGGTGGTGGATCCTGTCTTTGTATTTCTTCGTCTAATATCCATAGTGGAATCTCGCTGAAGCTCGCGATAGTACAAAATACGCATAGTATGAATATAATTGTAATCAGAGAAAACACGGCTCTTACATGACCTCCAAAAGCTTTTCCAATAGCTGTATTATCCCAGTTAATGCCACCCAAGGAATATCCCATGAATCCACCAAGCCCAGCCATGATTGTAAATGTCGATAAGCCTCTAGCATGATCTTCTGGGATCGTTACATCGAGCAAGTATGCTCTGGACGGACTTTGACACGCATCTGCGTCAAAGTCTAACAATACTGTTCCAAGTATAGTGAAAAGTATTCCCCAAGGATGAGGTGGTCTTGTGGATGTCTTCAATGTATCATCATCTTGATAGTTTGTTTCTTGGGCAGTGGCCCTGTGCGGAAGTACACTTTGTGTTGAAAAGTCGGTTTCGTTCGAGTATGGATTCACATCACCAAATGCGTATCCCAAAATTTCACCATTGGGTACAAGTAGCAGACCTAGTAATACTCCTATGGATAGCAATATGATAAACGGTCTTCGTCTTCCAAAGTTGCTTTTGCAACGATCACTCATAGAACCTAGAATTGGTGTTAAGAAGAATCCAACCAACGGTGACAGACACCAAACAAGGGTCATGTGTTGATGTTGGACGCCGATTTTCAGCAGAGTGGGTGATACAAATGCAGTTTCCGCTGCGTAAGAAAATTCAATTCCCATCACGGCTGCAGACACCCGGATGAGCTCCATTCTAGTTTTTTTCCTATAATTAAAGATGAAAGACGTTGAATTGTGAAATCGCTTAGTTCATTTTTTGGTAAAATGTATTAGAGTAAGCAAACTAATTTTCAACCTGGTACTAGTTTTCATCCTGTCTCCTCCAATACAAATAAAAAAAAAACAAATCTTCGTGTTTCAGGGGTATTTACAATGTCTATCTTCGTTCTTCAATGTATACTCCAGTACCAATGGTTCTAGAGTTAATATAGTTCAACGTATTAAAACTAGAATACTACAAAATAAATGAAGAAAAGCAGTACCTCTACATAGCTAGAAGACCTCCTACATATGTATTTTCCTTGGATTTGTTTTCCGTCGATCTTGTTTTCCGTACTGAGTACCAATGCTACCGACACCAGGAAGGCAGCTCCCACATCTGGACCCTTCCTATTGACCCATCAACTCATGGACCGGGGACCAACGATTTTACTAGGTCAAAGGGCATTGCAAGTCGAAGGTCATCGGTAAGAATCAAATTCCCATTTATGAATCAAATTTCACCCATATCACGAAAAAGGGGTAACAGTTACTCAGTCATGGGTAAAACAAATTACCCATTAATGAGAAGGCTCCTTTTTTTTCGCGAAATTCTTTAAATTTGGCCCATAAATGGTTATTTGATTCTTTACGTGCAACAATTATGCCGCGGATACACTATGAGCATGAGCATTATTTGTATAATAATTATACAAAAACTACACAAGTGTGATCATTAGGGTGGGTCACCGTTATATGGAAAAAAGCATACTTGACCTCATCAAGCGAGAACAACCTTGTTTTGGTTCCAAACAACGGGACGATTGCCTATAACCCGGATTTCCGCATTGCGTTTGAAGTTTGTATAGGAATTAGTATGGGAAAACTTAGTTTTTTTTTGCATTTGCATCCCTAGGAACCACAATTTTATATAGTGCTCCGAAATTATTTCAGTTTGGAATCTGACTTCCCTTGTTACACCAATACTGCGTCGGTAGGAAAAGTGATTTTTGCATTTAATTCGAAATAACAATCTTTTAACAGCTATAACTTTTTCTAGGAATATTCTAGCACCGTACATCCTTTGGCAAATTGTGGTCCCTAGGAATGAAAATTCAAAAAAGAAGGTTTTTATCATACTAATTTCCATACAAATTTCAAACGCAATGCAGAAAGCCAGGTTAAAAGCAATCATTCCCAAATCTAGCACAGTTTTTTCTTTCTTTGATTTATTTTCCGTCGATCTTGTTTTCCGTACTGAGTACCAATGCTACCGACGCCAGGGAAGCAGCTCCTACACCTAGACCCTACCTATCGACCCATCAACTCATGGACCGGGGACCAACGGCTTTACTACTCTTCCGAAGGAAGGCGTGATCAATGATTTTATGCCTCAGAAAATCCCGGCGGCGCCGACTGGGATTGAACCCAGGCCTTTTGGGGTGAGAGGTAATCACGCTAACCACTACACCATCGGCGCCGCTAATTTTGCACAGTTGTTTGGGACCCCAAATGGATACAAAAAAACATTGTTTTGAAAAAAATTATCACGATGACCCACTCTAATAATCATTCTAATCCTATGCAATTTGAGCAAACGTCTTTGGATAACCCATCCGAACATACTAACTCGAGAAGATGAGAAAATCCAAAATATTACAGACTGTAACTTTACTTTCATTGATATAAGGGAGGGTTGGAGGGGATACAGTAAGTCCCTCCCCTTCCCCTCTTCACCATTTAGATTAAGCAAATATTTTTGTAGAACACATCTGAACATACCAACCTGACACGATGAGAAACAAAGAAGTTATTTCAGTTTGAAGTTCTACTTCCATTGATATGAGTCAAGGGAGCTGGGGAAGCTCTCCACTCTCCCAAACTATGCTTAGCAATTGTTTTTGAATAATTCTTCTGAACATACCAAATTAATAAGATAAGAAATTCCGACGTTATATCAGTTTGCATCTTTACTTCGATTGATATGAGTGAAGGGAGTGGGGGGTCATAATCCCCCCCCCTCCGTCTCCAACTTCACATATGAGATAGATCGATTGTTTTTGAATAATTCAATAATACATCTGAACATACAAAGTCGATGCGATGAGATACTCCTAAATTATTATCTGACCGGCAGTGTTGGCAGGAAAAGTGATTTTTGGCATTTAATTCAAACCATAAATATTTGAACGGCTATGACTTTTTTTAGATACATTCTAGCACCGTACTTCCTTGAGCAAAGTTGTTAGGTACTTTCTGGACTATATTTGAACATGATTAGTTGTGGTCCCTAGGGATGGAAATGCAAAAAAAAAACTAGGTTTTCTCATACTAATTCCCATACAAATTTCAAACGAAATGTGGAAAGCCGGTTTATAACCAATCGTCTTTAAATTTTGCATAAAAATTTGTTCGCCAAATGGAACCAAAAAAGGTTGTTCTCGCTTGATGAGGTCAGGTATGCTTTTTTCCATATAATGGTGATCCACCTAATATATAAAAATTATCGACATAACGTGATCGTTATCGCATTGAGCGATAAAATAAACGGCAAAAAATTATCGATTAGTTATCCTTAGTTTACGGTGTAAATAAGTAGAGTGAAAACATGTCTACATTGGAACTGCCGATTATCCGTTAACGATTTGTTAAACATCATTCCAATCGAGCAGAACTCATTCCAATCGACTTGACAAATGGCACTGTATTTTAGTTTTTATTTCTACCCTACGTTTGTAGGGCTTTATCTAATTTCCGAAATAGTAAGCACAACCCGCACTTAATCTCGAACGGGCTTACACAATAAAAAATTGAACGTTTCTATCAATGATGACTTCTAAATTTATTCCCCATACTAACCGTACGTACGATTTGATATTTACACATTGTTGAGATATTGTTAAAAATATATCGCTACTTCTTGATTCCAATGCTGTCCAAACACATTGAAACGTCAATGGATTCTCTTATAGAGTAAGGTGGGACATAAAGTCAACCTTAGTTTCAAAAAACTCCAAGCATTTTTAATCAAACTAATTCCATACACAGGATCCCTCATTCAAGGTTTAAAATTTTCTCTTACAAAAATTTGATAATTTTTCAGTCCATTCGTAGCTAGAACGATGTTTTCGGAAGAGGGTTCGGAAGACTGATTCAAAATTTGAAATTTTCGACCACAGTGTTCAAACGATTCCAAATCTGGTCCTAATTAGCCACTCAAAATTTGAACTCATTTAGTATGAAATTGACTAGGCATTAACAGACATAGACATAAAGTTTATATTGAAATTACTATATTAAAATCGTTTGAGTATTGTTCGAAAACACCACTGATTTTCGTTGTCTTTAGAAAAAAGTCTGGTTCTAAAAGACCTTCTAAACAAGTACCAAAACAAAGAGTTATGTTTTGTACAGGCGCCGAAAACCTCAAAACGAACTTTTGCCTCACCTTACTCTATTGATGAAGGCAGAAAAAAATGATTAGCTAGGAGTGTTTCTTTTGTTTTTGAGCAAGTTGGATGTAAATATTCATATTATGCGTTCTAATAGATATATTTGTAGCAATTGAGCTAAACTATTGTACCAAACTTATGACTGATTCGTTCAATTAGAAATCATTGATATACTTGATGTTTCTGCTCGATATGACGGAACTGAACGGTTATGCCCAAGTAGTTCTCTACCCTATATTGTCGCTATACACGCAAGCAAAAGAATGTAAGAATTCCATAAGAAACACTTATGCAGCCACAAGAAATCAGTATGATTTCATTAATTTGCCTTATGAAAAATAATGTTAACAAAAAAAATAATAAATCGGAGCAGACTGGAACCGAACCATGAACGTTGAGATTACGGAGCTCGTGTGTTGACCACTCGTCTTTCAACGCTTAAGAAAAATGGAATGGCTAAAGGCGTATAAGAGCCACGTTATGTTAGATAAAAATCTTTCATAAGTCGCATTTATGAAATTCATATTTGTCGTTCATAAGTCGAGTCTTATGAAATTCTTAAGTCTATTTGTCTCAGTGTATGATAAAGTTTCCTTGCGTATTCTGCCTTTTTGTTAACTTTAGGTTCCCGTTCCAAGATTTGCTACTTTTTCTAAATATGTATTTCGAGTGAAAAATATTTGAAATCAAACTAGCAAATAATAAAAGTACTTTGATGGGGCAAAACTAACTCTAGTAGAATAAACAACATCCTTCAAAATTTGTGTCGTCAACATTTCAGAGTCTCTTTACGACTTTAACAGATAATACTTATTTTATGACTTTTGAAATTATATGGCTGAATCACGAAAATATAAATAATGATCTACAGAAAGACAATGATAAGCGCATTAAATATACCATATTATCATTTTGAAAGTGATGTCCGCTACTTTATGTGGATCTTTGCTTTGTTAAGGGTAAAAATGAATAAACAAAATCACCGTTGCTTACTTTCTTATGCAATCAGATCCATATCATTCTATTTGAGCGACTCATTGTTCAGAAAAATTAATAATCGATTATGAACGATCCTTTAAACTTGTCGAACCTCTTAACGGAATCCCTTTATGAAGAACTTTGAGTGGGTTGGTTTATTTCCTTTAAATTTCGTTATAATTGCTTATCTTTTGACAAATCCGCGTATTTCGTCTACTACTTGCAGACTTCATCCGTGCTAAGTACTCAACACCACTGAAGAATACATCTTTTATCTACGAGTTATATACTAAGCAGGGATGGAAAATCATTTACATTCATTTCGTGCATTGATTTACATTGCAAATTGCCTCTAACTTTTTTCATCAACAGAATTCAGTAAAATAGTGCATGCAGCTGTTGTAGTCTTTGATATTAACTACATCAAATCTGTATCTCTTATGCATGATGAATCAGAGCGATAAGAACCCACCATTGTTTTTCAGTGAATGTTAATTGCATTCACTGAAAAACAATAACATGTTCTGCCAGCTCTGCTGCATCATGCATAAGAGATTTAGATTTTTGTTATTAACAAAAGTTGTAGTTAATATCAAAAGCTACAAAAACTTCAAACATCATTTAACGATATTCTGTTGATGAAAAAAGTTAGAGGCAAATGAATGTAAATGAATGTAAATGAATTTCCATCCTTGGTGTTGAGTACTTGGCACTGATGAAGTCTGCAAGTAGTAGACGAAATACGCGTATCTGTCAAAAGATAAGCAATTATAAGGGAATTTAAAGGAAAAAAACCAACCCACTCAAAGCTCTTCATAGATTATGAGTGATTTTCCCCAACACACTTTTACTGAAATTCGTAATTTTATTGCTGAAAAGCACAGTGGCAGCTATTTTTAAGTTAAATGCAAATTTGCATATTTTTTTTATTTTTCTAAAAAATATTTTACTAGCATAAATAATATTTTAAAATGTACATTTTTAGCATTAGGGAAATTTTAAAATACACATTCTCACTATTTCAAGGCAAGAGCTTATCACCCCAGCATCGTTGACACCAACAAATACAATTCTATGATTGTCATTTGTATTCATTACCTAATAAAACAAAATCCTTTTGCAAATAAATTGCCAATAGCTATCCATTCAAATTGAATTTTACGTACCGATATATGTGAGAAAAATCCACATTGCTCTCTCCCCAAGGCGCATTAGAGTCGATGTTGTCTTGCCGCTGATTCGGCGTTCTTATGCTGTCTCGGATATACTGAGTAAATCCACCCGTTCTCTGCTCGCGCCAAGCGGCATGTTTTACTCGCAGTCCTTCTTTGAATTCGTGGAACCTTCCCGTCCATCCTTGATAGTCATGTAGTTTGTCCATGGTCTTCTGGTTACCTTAAGACTATTTTCTAAGCAACTCAACTACTATATTTTGATTTTCATTTACTTTTCTTTCGATTACGTGAACTAAGTAACGAATGATAATGCACACATTTTCTCAACTTATAAACCAAAGTTAGCAAATCCGGTCACAAAGTATAATCCAATGGTAATTGCTTCTGACAGTTTTCGAACACGATGTTAACACCGTTCGTTTCTAATACGTTTTCAGATTGAATATCTGAAGAAGATTTTCAGCATGCATGATGCAACGAAACAAGAAGCGGTCTTGATATTTTTAAGGAAAAGCTATGTGAAAAATTCGTATCAACACTAATTTAATTAACGACTATTTTGTCATATGTGATCGATGAATAGAACTAAGGCTAAATTAGTTGTTATGCAAACGAACTGTATTCGAGTCAATCAAAATGTAATCACAAATAACTCAAACACACAGTTGAACGTATTTCTGATTAGATTTTCAGAAAAAACTACACTGATTCGGCGAAACGCTGAGCGAGGAAAAGTCTACATCCGACTGGATCGCGGGTATAATTTCGAATGAAGCTTGCGAATTCTGTTAGTGCTGTATTGAGCTTCCCGTTCGTTCGTAAGAGCATTTGTTTAGCTCTCTTCTCGTCTTCGTTCGTGCGACGAAATAGGGATGTCTATGCACTGAAGACAAAGATGTTTTCAATTTAGAGATCAACTTTAATAAAAATATTAATATTTTTATATCAACATTGATCAACTCGTTAATCAAGATTGGCAAAATAATGGTAACTTCCGAGAAAAAGGTACATCTTTATTAACAGATTGTACAGCATATTTTGAATTATAATTCATTAAATTATATAATCCTCGAACAATTGAAACAATACGTTCGATTGCAAATAATGAAATAGAATTAATGATTCTTCCCTAAGTATGTCCATTGTTATGTTATTGACTTCAGGATATCATGAAAATAAATGAGTGAGGCCCTTATGATTCTGAACATTTCAAAAGGCCCTATCTACTTTGATCGATTCTCTTAATCGCTTTTATCTTTTGATAACTACTGCTACCCTAATAAAAATTGTATGGTTAATTTGCTTAACGACGTGTTCTGGGTATCATCCAAACCATTTATGGAATAGTTCAATGATTTGGGTTATCGTGCGTTTATGGTTATTTTTTATTAGGGTATACAAACAGATTTCACTCTATTTTTGCCACATAGTTTAATTAAGGAGATTCAAATACAACAGGGAAAGGTTTAGCAGCTGAGTTATTAGCGAAAGCAAAAGTCTATAAAGAGAGCCAATCAATACAGATAGGACTTTTAGAAATGTTTTTCTAGATATGTTGTGTCCTTCTCAAGAACAGTATGCATATGATAAAAACTAAATTGTCAAATATAGTGATCAAATTTGCGTAGCTTTACGGTTTCTGCGTTTTTGACAGTTAACAATAGGTGGTATAATGAGACACTCACTTATTGTTTTGGTTGCAGATAGTGTTTACATAAGTTTGTTACTTGTTGTGAAATATTTAGTTAAATTAATTACCAGCTTAAGTAAAGTACGGAACAATCCTTTTTCGCGACAGAAATGTACCTCGAGGTCTTTTCCCGGCTGTGCTAGGGGAACATATTTCTTCTACTTTCAGAATTCGATCCGATGCGACCGAACTGGTAAATATGTTTACATCTATTGTGTGGTGTTCTTTTCGTCGTCAGCTCCTCTGTCTCTTGGGTATTAATTATCTTGAGGCGGCTAAATGCAGTGGTTGTTTCTCTCTGTTCGGTAAATTGAAGTGATTATTGAAATTATTTCTTTCGCTTTGTGCGTATCAAATATCTTGGGAATGAAACATACACTTTAGCTTTAATGTTGGGAGGAAAAAATGAATACTGTTTTCAAATAAAATAGTCAATAGTCAAATAGTTTTCCACCATGAGTGTATAGTCTTGTCGCAGTTTAAACAGTTTTTTCTTGGAGCCCGTTATAATACGGGGTTGCTTTGAGATTCCGAACTTTAATTAATGAATCACCGGAAGTTCAGGAACAAATACTGGACTTTGACAAATTTTCGTTTAAAGCAATTAGAAATAAATATTTCGCAGACAAAAATATCTGAAGTTACGTTGCATCTTTTTTGCATAATGATAACAGTTTTGAGATTTTTTGTATTTTTTCATCATTATTGAAGATTCTGGGGTAAACCTTTTTTGAGCGGCGCCGGTGGTGTAGTGGTAAGCGTGATTTAATCTCACCCCACAAGGCATTCAATCCCAGTCGGCGCCTCCGGGATTTTCTGAGGCATAAAATCTCTGATCACGCCTTCTTTCGGAAGGGAAGTAAAGCCGTTGGTCCCCGGTCCATGAGTTTAGGGGGGATAGGAAGGGTCCAGGTGTTGGAGCTGCCTTCCTGGTGTCGGTACTCAGTACGGAAAACAAGATCGAAGGAAAAAAAAACAAGGAAAAAAAAGGAACCTTTTTTAAATTTGCTGTAATTGTATAGCGTATTTCGCAGGTGTACCTCAAACATTGAACAATGCTTAATGCGATATTTCTTCAAAACACGTTTTATGTATGAATTCATATATGTTTCAAATAAGAGCTAGGTTAACCAAAAAGACATGAGTATGCAAGATTGTCGTTGAAATAATTGTATTGGTGAATAATTAAGATTGTAAAAATTGCCTGGGATCATATTGACCCCAAGGTACAGGCAAAGAGTAAACGGTGCATTTTTTTGCCACCACTCCAGCACTAAAAATAATCCATCAGAATTGATTTCGCTCATACCATTTTGAAAAGGTTAGGTATAGTGCTATACTGTATTATTTTATACTAAGGAATATTATTTTCAGATTTTGACATACTATAGCCGATAGAAATTTGATTAATCATATTTTGTTTGGCCGAGCCCAAAAAAAATTGGGGGCATTTTTATATGTTTTATTATTTTTATTTTTGTTTTATTATAGTCACTTAAATAATCGTGCGTCATTGGTGACTTCTACAGAGATTTTTATTAAATTTTTTATAGAAATTTTTAGGCGTAGGCTAGTTTATCTCTTATTTTCCAGGGATGAGATTTGAACTCGTGACTTTGGAGTGAGATGTATAGATATTAACCACTACGCTGGTGCCGTCTCCATTTCTGAGGGTTTATTTTTAGCGCTGGAGTCTACATGGGTACTGTGGACTTAATATGCTTGTAAACTACTTGGAGATGAACTAGCCAGTTGACTTAAAATCACCCTAATAAAGTCTTTAAAAAAGTTGGTCAACTGGGAGCCAGCGTGATCAGTAAACATTTAGAAGTCACAAATGTAGCTTCTCTTCTTATCCATCTTCATGTAGTGTCATCTCATTGAAATTAACCATACTTTTACGATACACATTATTTATTATAAGCTCAACGATAGAAGCCACCGGACTCAATGAAGAAAGCATAAAAACCAGCACAATTTGGTAGAATCAGTTGATTTACAATTCTAATAAACCTTTTTTTTAATTCTTTACTAAGGAGACTTTTAGTCTATGGCTAGCGCATCTCCGGCTTCTAATAAACCATACTCTGACAAAACAAAAGGTATTTAAACTTTATTTGAGGCATGGGGGCCCGAAGATTCCTGACTAAGAGTTTTTGGTGGGATTCAGCTGAGAAAAGCAAACCAATTCAAAACTAGAGAAAATGTTCATGCGGGTTTCGGTTGGAGTATACTACGGTGTGAAATGCGGAAAATAAGAAAGCTTAGTTTAATTTTTAACGCAAATTAAAAACGGAAAATTACTGTATCAGAAAAGTCTTGAAAAATCTAGGAAATTAAACCTTACCCGAGAAAGTGTCATACTTAAAATTGTTCGATAGCTAGAAATATTTAAAAAATATCACTAAGGTTATGCAAATTACACGTTTAGAACGATTCAACTAGTAAAACGTCCGATTTCTTTGAAATAATACTGATGTACAGACATGTAAACATGCACTTAACACAACTACGTAATAAAGTTCTACACCAACATTTGGTTTCTTTTGTTGCATTTAGTTCAATGTAAAATTAATCATTTTGTTTGAACCTTATTTTTTTCTTTATTAGAGTGACTTTCAGGCAGGGGCTACCAAACTCTTAATTGTCATTTGCTCACTTGTAAGCATGTACCTATTTTTCAGTAGTTTTCACCTAAGCACAACATTAACTACTCAATAAAAGATCTACACCACGTACGCAACACTCACGCATGCTTCGGGTGCCCATTAGACTGATGCAAAATTTGACTTTTTCGCTCCACAGTGCTTAAATGGTTTCAAATTGGGTCCTGATTAGCCTCCCAAAGTTACAACTCATTTGGTTAGACACAGACTTCGCACAAGCCATTTGAAGTTTACATGTAAATTAATATGGGAAATCTCAACTTTTTGTTCATTGCCTTCTAGTCTTTTCCATATCGAGCTGCGAAACAGTTTGAAACAGCCATTCTTATAGAAAATTTTCTCAGCTACAACTTTGTTGAAGATCATTTCTATGTAAAACGAGACTGTAAAAAGTTATTAATTATTTAAGAGATTGGTAAACTTATTACATGATTAAGCAGCTGCTCGCCCCGTAACGTGGGTAGATCACCTTTTCGTGGTACGTTACGGGATGTAAGATCTACCACCGATTCCTAGTCTTGACTACTTCAAACTAGGGGAACAGGATTTTACAGTAATCAAAGGAACACATCTTAGTCCTTGTTACTTTTTATGCCTTGTTGATAGTGATAAGTCCTCGGGTTGCGTGGACCGAGGATGATCTTGAAACAAGGAAAAAATGAGTTAGTTAGTCTTCACCTATGTGATTCCTAATCTTCTATTCGTTGTTTCCTAGTTTGAAGTGGTTAAGACTAGGGTTCTGATGCATGGTCATTATCGGTGTCATGTCTTGTTTTTTTTGCTAAGGAATCCAATTTTGACTGACAAAGGGGCGCGCCTTTGGAGGGTGTTTCAACACTCCGAAGGGTATAAATAGCGGGACCTTTCAATTAGAATCGATTCCTTGCGATAAAGGCAAGAATGACAACTGTATCAAAACCGAATACTTCATCATTTCTCAATAGTGATGGAGTAATACGACATGCACTAAACTAAGGACACGGGATATACTACAATAGATCAAATTACTGGTCGCAGTGGTTTTATGTCCCGAACAGAGTAAAAAAAAAGCAGCTGCTCTGTAGGCAACACTGTATTTTGCAGTGAGACATAGTAGCCGTGATTTTTGTATCCTATTCAATGCCCCAGAAACACCAATGTTGCCTGCTGAGCAGTTGATTGAGCATGATCATAAGACATCAGCGCATTGAACCATTGATAACTTTCGATCCTTGCATTTAATCAAAAAGTGATCTTGAGCAAGGTTGTGGCTGGAAAAATTTCCTACAAGTACATATGAAAGCATTTGAAGCAGACCAATATGGTGAATTATTAGATAGACATGAACAAAAATCTTGGTTTTACCATAGTAATTCCCATACAAACTTTACATGATTTGTGCCATCTCAGTTT